GTTAAGTTTAGATTTGTGAAAATTTACAAATTTGCACTGTTCGAGTGTTGTCATTGTGTTAGAGAGTAAATGCCACGAATAAATTTAACATTAAACGTAATCCAAGTTGAAGTGTTACATCATTTTCAGCCCCCTTTTTGGCATCTGCATTTGGTAGCAGACCAAATTGACAAAGACCATGCAGAATAATGTAGAGTTTTAATTCCATAGCAGAGGAAGCTATGTAGTCTCTGTAAGTAGGTCTAGGGGGGAAAAAAAAATCAGTATTTGTATTGGTTATCATCAAATACATGTTAACATATCGGCATATTGAATATCGGCCAAAACTCCAATATCGTGCATCCCTAGTTTTGATCATAGAATGGAGAAAAAACAGGCTTTAACTACTTTGTTTAGGTAAACACGTGCTTAAAAAAAAAAGTATATTTGTGTTAACTTTTTTCAGTATATCCAAATAATTTATGCTATTTTGTAGTTTTGCCTCATTCCTCAGAGTTGATGTATTTCTCAGTGGGTGATGTAATTAACTGAAGCTCAAACACTGTAACACTAAGAAAACATTATTTTGATGACTTTGTATGACACTGATGTCGATGTTTAAATATAACGCGACGATGACGTTCACGGAGCTGTAGTCTTTTTGTTTGGACTCGACGGTGTCGTCTTTAAAAATTATGGTTTTTAATCTAGAATGCAATCCCACCAGAAGCTGGGACGGTTTTCTAACGTTCACAGAACCTGTCCCCGAAGGTGTTTGTATCTCTTCTCGTTCCTGTGTCCTCATGAAATATAAATGGCCTTAAACTGGACAGTGAAATCCCTGTCGGCGGGCTGTCAGGTGGTGGAACCAGATCCAAATCTGTTAATTTGATAGCTCAGGGGTCACTTACAGGCCTTGGTCAGAAAGCTGGAAAATTAGCAACTGTGATCCAGATTAACATAAAAATCACCTCTTGTATATATTAAGATAAAAAAAAACAAGATCAAATCTTTAAGAATGCTTAACTTGTAATATAAATGGGAGAAATGTGTCTTTTCATAGGACACATTGTTATTTGAGGGGTGGGGACATTTCCTTTATTTACTAGAAGTGAAGTAAACCAGTTCTGCAAGTCCTTGTTGATCTATAACTCGGGTTGCTCTTGAAGCGTGCCCAGATTACTCTCTGGACTCATTCAGGGCTTTGTGTGTGAGGGAGCACCACAGAACTGGCACAGCTCCCCTCTGCAGGAACTGATTATGGCTTTGCGACCCCGAGCTTCATCTCAGCCAGGAAAGCTGTCCCTCCTCCAGATCACCAAGTCGACCTCGTCCCTTCGTCCGCGGGCCGTTTCCTCGCGCTCGAGCTCCATGCTGGAAGACGAGCTGTCCTGTCCCGTCTGCTGTGAGATCTTCAGGGAACCCGTCGTGCTCAAGTGCAGCCACAGCTTCTGCCGGGCCTGCCTGCAGCAGTTCTGGAACAAGAAGAAGGCCAGGCGCGAGTGCCCCATCTGCAGGAGGAAGTGCTCGCTGACCGAGCCCACGGTCAGCCTGGCCCTGAAGAACGTGGCCGACACCTTCCTGCGGGAGCAGGAGCGGAGGACGGCCACTGCTCAACTGGGGTCCGGTTCAGGAGGGACGGGGGAGGAGGTGGGGGTGGCGGAGGAGAAGTGCGTCGCACACGGGGAAGTGCTCAAGCTCTTCTGTATGGATGACATGGAAGTGATGTGCTGCGTGTGTCACACCTCCAAGAAGCACCAGGGACACAAAGTGTGTCCCCTGGGAGAAGGAGCCCAGGATCTGAAGGTGATTCTTTATCATTAAAACGGTTTTGAACCAGCACACGTGTGATCCAAGTTATTTGTTTTTAATGTTCTTCAGGAAGAACTAAAGAAAGAGCTGGTTCCACTGAAGAAGAACCTGCGGCGCCTGTATGAAGCCAAGCAGGAGTGTGATGACACAACCGTGCACATCAAGGTATCAACAAACAGATCCATGAAACTCTAGACGTACGCTGGTGCAGCCTGAACGCCACGTGGTGTTAAAAAACCACGAATGCTGCAAATATTCAGACGCTTTTAGATCCAAAAATGAGGGCTCAAGTTTTTTTTTTTTTTGGACAGAACCTGATTTTGTCCAGCAGGGAGGCCTCAAAGTAGAAGCAGTTGGATTAGTTTTCCAACAAGTAAAGCTGATATGTGTTTTTGTATGTAGCTTTGAAAGAAATGTTGAGTTCCTCGCACCTACGTCTTCGGTATTCTACTTAAATCGGTGCCGCCTCCTCCGTTATTATCCTTCCAAAGAAAAGAACCGGAGGTATTTTATTAAACAGCCATTCATCCCCAGACTGGATTAAATAATCCCATTTCATTTTTGTACGAGAAGTACAGGCTCAGAATCGTTGATGAAGAGTTTGTCTTTGGTCACTTTGTAAACGGGGACAGAGTTGAGGTCAAAGTTTGCGTCCGTTAAAAGAACCGCCTCATCTGATAAAGGTCAAACTGGGACCCCTCTGAGCTGGACGTCTTGTTGACCCAGTCTCCAAATCTTGTCCATAAAATTAATGAACAGGACAACCTTGGAGAAATTTCTCTCCGGCTTTGAGTCAGACTAATGTAATCCAGGCAGCGATAAATCAGGCACTAGGTTTAGTTGTCCGGGCAACAAACAGACGGCTGTAATGAACTCGGTGGCCCAAACACCTGAAGCCCGTCCCATAGGACGTCCCTGGAGATACGATCATATGTTCTCTTTTAATGATCAAAACATGCAGGCTGGTTAGGAAAACTTCAGTCTCAAAAGTATTCACTGTATAACGAGTTTTGTACACATACAATAAGATCCACAAGTTTTACAAATGTGTGCTACAAGATTCTCAAATGCATAAACCGTTTTTCAAATGTGCACATTTCGATTTGAACAAGTAGGAATATTCTGCACATACAAATGATCACATACACGTGCACAAATCGCTTGCTGTGGACGAATCAGTCAACATGAGCACACGGATCAGCTTGTCTGTGAATGTGACTTTAGAGACTTTCTTACCTCCTGATTCATTAAGTTAATGCTGCGTTCAAGGCTGGTGAAAAGCTGGGACAAATGAGCGTTACCAGATTTACTGTTGTTGGGAAAAGACTCGTTTCTAACTTGGCTCAGTTGCTCATAAACCTCTATAATAAAACTTATATACTTAAAATATGTTTCCTGGGATTTTCTTCCTCTGCTAAAAATAATTTCCACTAGAAGAAAAAGTTAATTTTGTGGAATGTACAGCTGAAATAAACAAAACAAACAAACGAAAGAAATTACATTGCAAACATTGCTTACATTAACATTACTGTATTCCAAAAACAATAATTAAGGGAACTGTCCGGTTAGAATAAACAGACTAAAATGAGCAGGTTGTTCTTCATATGGAATTTGTTTTTTTGGAAAATAAAATTGTCTATCAACCACTTTTGAAATTTATTTCACCTGTACAGTTAGCATTTTCTTCTTGTGGAAAAACTTCTGGAAGAATATATTTTACTTTACTTTTTGTATAAACTGTAAATTTTAAATAAACTACTCACAATATTTAGTTTATTCTTCCTTTGCAAAAACTACAGTATATTTTCTGGGATCATTAGCAGAAGAAGTAAATACCATGATATGTATTTGTCCTGTTGTTTTACAAGCAGGAAGATAACCTAACCACTTTTGGTGTTTACGTCAGCTGTGAAGTCCACAAAATTAACTTTTCTTCTTGTATAATTTTTTTTAGCAGAGGAAGAAAATAGGGAATATATATTTTAAGTGAATGTGCATATGTGTTTTGTTTATGAGCAACTGAGCCAAGTTAGAAATGAGTCCTATCCCAATAGCTCATTAATCTGGTAATTCTCAGATGTCCCAACTTTTCACCAGCCTTGAACGCAGCATTACCTTTGAGAATCTGGAGGTAAGAAAGTCTCAAAAGTCACATTCACAGACGAACTGATCTGCACACTCATTTTGACTGATTTGTTCACAGTAGGCGATTTGTGCACGTGTATCTGAAAATTAGTATGCGCAGAATATTCCTATTTGTGCAAACCGAAATGTGCACATTTGAAAAAACTGTTAATGCATTTGTGAATCTTCTAGTGTGCATTTGTAAAACTTGTGGCACGCTTGTACGTCTTACTGTACGCATACAAAACTTGTAAGCTTGTGTGGCTACTTTTGAGACTGATTTATCTTCATAAGCTCCCACTTATTCTGTAGTCTCTTGGGTGAAGAACTGCTCCAGTTCACTACCAGGAAAATCGTTTTTCTTCTTATTTTAAAGTTCAGCCGACTTCCCTTTTCTCTGAATGTTCAGAATCCCCCAGGAAAGCTGAGAATGTGAACCGCCTGCAGTGACAAAGGCCCTGTGGTCCTGTTTCCTGGAAAGTGGGAGGCAGATTGTGGATCTAGTTTGCAAATCCAGAGACACTGTCCTCATCGTCCACACAAGCCTGGACAACATCTTTTCTGGTGTTCCAGGAAGAAACTCGAGTCTCCAAACTCTTTTCTATTTTTGAGCTCCACTCTGCCTTTTGGTATACTTTGACATTTCCAAATAAAACCATTTAATAGTATTATAAAGTATAATACAAAAATGTATATTTTGTAGCATTGGAACATTTATCCTCAAATAATTTAAAATAAATTAAACTCAATGATCTTCAAATCTTATTTCTCTGTATTTCATTCACAGTGGAATACAGTAAACATATTAAATGTCAAAACTTAAACGTTGTACCTTTTCTTTTAAAGGTCATTTAAGGGGTCATATTTACGACTATATAGCATCTCCTCTTTTACTAACAGTCCTTGAACAGCCAAGAGCTGAGAAGACTAGTAGCTGGAGCTTTAGGGGGAAATGTTGTCACAATGTTAAACCATCTACTAAAACAGCGACTCTGTATCGATGAAACATGCAAGGCCTTCCATGGAAAACAAAAATCTGGATAGGAGTAAATGTTCTAAAACCTGTGTATACTTGTCTGCATAAATAGTGCAGTTTCAGACGTGTAAGCTGCCATGCCTTTGGAACTAATGCACCCCTATACCATCATAGAGGCAGGCTTTTGACTTATATGCTGATAACAAGCCTGTTGTTTCTTCTCTTCAGTTCATAGTTAAAAAAAAAAACATTTTTAGTTGACACAGAGCAGTTTTTCCACTTTGAGTACCCAACGACCACGAGCATCCATCCAATACGGATTTTTGACCTCGTCCTTGGCTTGTAGAGATTTCTACACATTCTTGAACTCTTTTGATGATGATATGAACTGCAGCTGATGAGCTAATACAATGCTTCTGTTTTTATTTTTTTTTAAATAGAGGAACGTTAATCTGGAATTGTTTTATTAATTTTAGCCAGCTTTGTTTTCTCAGAATGGTGAACCTCTGTCCATCTTTACTTTTAAGATGATCTGTTTTTCAAAAATGTTCTTTTTATGTTCAGTCCTCGTTTAGACTTGTTACCAATTAACCTAAAAAGTTGCAAAATGCTCCTCCTGTCCTAGCTTTTTTGAGATATATTGCTGCCATCAAATTCAAAATACTTTGTTTATGAAATTTGAAAATCATTGCACTTTCATATATTACATGTTATTTACACACCCATCTCACCTTTTTTGAAATTGCAGTTGTTTTAAGACGTAGGAGCTGCAGATCATAGATTAGAAAGACTAAGTGTTTTTCACTGTTTATCTGTGTTTTGATTTGTGATAGAATCAGACGCGGTCCACAGAGGAGAAGATAAGGCAGGACTTTGAGCAACTTCGAGAGTTTCTTGAGCGGGAGGAGGCAGAGCGACTGGCCGCCCTGGAGCAGGAGGATGTGGAGAAAAGGGAGCTGGTGAAGAAGAAGGCTGATAGCATAACAAGAGACATCCTCGCCTTCTCTCATGCTGTCATTGCCATTGAGAATGAAATAGCATCCAGTGATTGGGTATTCCTTCGGGTAAATAGTTTTATTTCCTTTCTCTTGCGAGTCCAGATGGACATAGAGCACTTTGTAATTCTCTGTGTTCTTTCAGAACTACCCCAACACAAAAAAACGGTAGGATGTTTGAAATTTTCTGTGGCCGTAATGTCACAACTTATCAAGACTTGACTGATTCCTGTATGTCATTCGTCATCCCACAGAGCGCAGCTGCCAGAGAAGGATCCAGAAAATGTGTCGGGCGCTCTCATAAATGAGGCCAAGCATGTGAGTTCCCTCAAGTACCACGTGTGGGAGAAGATGGTGGAGCTGGTTCAGTACAGTAAGTGTTGAATGTGACGTGTTGATTCTGGTTGGGACAAGTAGTAATCCTTCATTTGACTCAGGAAGTCTGATATGCAGTGGACTTTTCTTTAGTTTGCATTGAGTTTATTATTTACTTTTTTCTTTTAGCACCTATAACCCTGGACCCCAACACTGCATACTCCTGGCTGTCCCTCTCACCAGACCTGATCCGTGTAGCCAACGGTGGATCCCTGCAGCAGCTCCCCGACAATCCCGAGCGCTTCGGTCACTTTGTGTTCGTGCTGGGGTCCGAGGGCTTCACATCCGGCCGGCACGCCTGGGAGGTGGAGGTGGGTGACAAGGTGGACTGGATGCTCGGTGTGGTCAAGGAGTCCATTGACAGGAAAGGCCGCATCTCGGGCTGTCCAGAGGGTGGCTTCTGGATGATCTCGCACTATGAGGGCGAGTACTCGGCCATGACGAGGCCCAGCACCCCGCTGCACTTGGAGGGGAAGCTGACTCGAGTCAGAGTGCAGCTTGATTACGAGTCCGGAGAGGTGGCCTTCTCCGACCCGGTGAACATGAAGTCCATCTACACCTTCACGGGCGTTTTTACTGAGAAGATGTACCCTTTCTTCTGCCCAGGAGCCAACATTAACGGGAACAACCCCAAACCTCTTAAAATCTGCCCTGCCAAGGTGGCTGTGTGGAACAGCTCGACCTGGTGATTTAAGATCACGTCACAGGAGGCATCGGTGCGTTTCAAACTGTAAATAAAAAAAATAGATGATGTCTGTGCAGGTATGTGTGTAAATGAGCTTAATACAAGCAGAGTAATTACAGTAGAGTAGGTCATGCTCAATAATGCTCAATAATGCAGTAGAGTACACTGTAGAAAGAAAAACGTGTCTTAGTGTCAACCGCCCCCTGGAGGTCAAAATGCACAATTACATCTCACAAGAGCAAAGTTCAACTAGTTTCTTCAAGCCACTTTACTGACTTTATATAATTATCTACAGAAGATGATACAAAGTGTCCAGCTCTTTACTGTTTAATCTTAGAGATTAGCAATCTCCTTTTTAATGATGTCCTGGCCAAGAAAGCAGCTGAAGCCAACATTAATTCAACCTTTATTTATACATGTTAGTCTCTTCGAGGACTCATTTACAAGAATGCAGTAACAAAGAATTATGATAAAAGTAGACAACGACAACAATCAGTTGACAGTTGACAGTCAAAAAAGAAAGCATAAAGTAGGGATGCACAATATTATCGGCATGGTATCGTTATCGGCCGATATTAGCGATAAAGTTAAACATTGGACATCGGCCATTCCATCAAAATAACTCATCGATATAAAAGGCGCTGTTTATATAATATATGATAGAACACACACACACATATATATAAAAGATGTTGTTTTTGTATGACTATTCGACTGTTGTCATTATAAATGTCATGAATAAATTTGACATTAAACATAATCCAAGTTGAAATGTTACGTCATTTTCAGCCCACTTTTTGGCATTGGCATTTGGTATCAGGCCAAACTGACAAAGACCATGCAGAATAATGTAATATTTTAATTCCATAGCAGAGAAGTGTATGTAGTCTCTGTACGTAGGTCTAGGAAAAAAGGATCTGTATTGGTTATTGGCCAAATAAGTTTTAACACATTGGCATATCGGATATCGGCTAAAAACCCAATATTGTGCATCCCTAATATAAAGCATATAAATTGAAAAAATAAATGGAAGAAAATGATAATTAAAAGAAACAAAACAGCTACATTGTATAGCAATGTAAAATACTAAAAGCAGGAACGTGTCTGCTGGTTTTTGCCATGAACTTAGCAGATGTTTGAAGCCACTTACAAAGGTCAGGGTCGAGAGCTTCAGATCCTTTTGCAAGGTGTTCCAGGATACAGGAGCGAAGTAGGAGAAGGCAAACAACAGGAAGAAGGCCAACATATTTAAATATGTGCATATTTACATTTAGATAATTTACACAAAGGTTGAGATTGCATTAAAAAAACACACAAGACAACTTTTTTTAAAATCAAAATCTTAGTCACTTACATTACTCTCGGTGATACTGGGAAGCCATAGAAGAAATGAGGAATAACTTTATTTAAGACAACAAAGTCCATGCTCAATAATCCAGGTATACAATCCAACATTTTTCAGTCAGTTCATCTAGACAGTTTAATTTTTTGTACTGAAACGTTTCACCTTCGATCCGGAAGGCTTCATCAGTCAAGGAAACAACACAAAACTGATTCTTCCCCCAAACAGCTTACTCCAAAGTGGAACAAACCAGTTATGTTGGTGCTAAGATTGTCTCTTTGGCATGCCCCCTCTTCCGTTGCCGGCCCTCTTCTTTGTAAACTGTTGGAGGAAGAATCAGTTTTATGTTGTGTGTTTCCTTGACTGATGAAGCCTTCCGGATCGAAGGTGAAATGTTTCATCACAAAAAAAAAGAAATTGTCCAGATGACCTGACTGAAAATTGTTGAACCTTGTTTAAGGTTCACCTGTAAGATGCAAAAGTACACAAAATAGAAATATCCAAAGCCATAGTTACTATTTTTAAGCATAATTGAAGGATTTCAATTTAGTTTTATATTGTGCCAGTTCAAAAGAGTCGTCTTAGAGAACTATACAAAAGACAAAAAAAGTCCAAATCAGATCCAGATTCTAATCCAACTACAGTCAATTAATCTAATGTAATAAATATATATGTACTATAGTAGTGTATTATAATACATTCATACACAGAACATCATGAAGTTCTTTCTAAGGACACCTGAAGTTTGCATCAAATCTTCATTTTGTCACAAACCCCCATCTTGACCACCATGTTGGAGACAGTGAAAGGAACCGGCTCCTTTTTAACAGACAACATCTCCAATAGATCCAGAACCAGGCTCAGGATGAACGGCCATCTGTCCCAAGGGACTGTTTTTTCTGAATCATTTTGGGACAAGATGGTTCTAATTTTAGTGATACTGCGCAGGTGAGGTTTAATTATTGCCATCCAGAAGAAGTGAAAGGCTGTAAAGTGTATTAAAAGATGCTCAGGTTCAAAAACCTCCTTCTCTGTCTTGTTTGAGTTTAACAGCAGAAGATAAAAGTAATCCAGGTTTTTATGTCTCTACAACTTAAATTACAAGCATGTCTTATAAAATAAACTTTTACATGTTTCATTTTCTGTTATCAGAAACCAAACTGTGATTTCATAAAAACCTCTGAAATATGCTTCTACACAAATAAATTATTTTCACTGCCTTCTCTACGTAGCAATTTTTTTGTGTGTGTGTTTTTTTTCTTTTTTTGAGGAGCTCCAGAGCAACAGAACGGTCGTCACTAACCTCCCCCTCACTTGTTTCTGTGCAACAAAATAAAACAATATTTAAACAGGAGACGAGGAGAGCAGATAGTGTTTGTCAGCTGTCACCTACCTGAGAAAAGAGAGGAGAAAAAGTCTGCAAAGAAAATTTTTAACATAGATTTATTGTTTTACAAAAAGCTATTTAAAAGTTCATTGTTTTATGGCCTTTATTCCCTGCTCCGATGCTCAGCAGGGCTTTCACAAGGCAGTCAGAAGTGAAGTCCTGCTGGGTGTCTGATCAGAAACTGCATTAATAATCAAGTGGAGATCACCCGTCTCCTCAAGAGGACTCACCTGCTGGGTGCACACCTGACAGGACAGAAACAAACATGTACTCTACGTGCACACCAGAAAGCTGCCAGCCTCTCACTTTAAGGTTTGTGCTGACATTTTTAATTAGTTGTAAAGTTTCAATTTTCATATTCCTTAATATTTTTTAAAAAGCCTAAACGAACGCCTCACAGGGTTTATGACAATGTTTTTGCCTGTGTGTTCACGTGTCAGTAAAATATTGGATGAATGGAAGGGTGAAATTGAAAATCTCCATAAATAATTACTGGTTATACATCTGCAGCTGATTAACTTCTGAAGCCAGTCCAAATCAAGATGGCTACCACTAATTCACATTAGCTCAAAAATGACCACAAGTTGGTCACTTTTCCAGATAATGTGCTCAAATCTGATCTGATTGCAGCTGAGAGTCTTTTTCAACACGTACAGGCGTGATACCATATTACATGAGACTGAATGATGTTAGTTTGAAAGTCTGACCCAAACAGCTTAAATTTTCTAATTTCTCCGCACATGATGATGTCAGTCCAAACCTCTGGCATGAAAAGTGGATGTTTTCTTTCCTAGGGAAAAATAAATCTTGGATTACACACATTTAGTTTTCATCTAGTTTTTCAGTTTGCAGAGTTTGAATCATGACTTTAGGGACAGAAGGAGATCACAAGTACGTGGAAGTCAAGAGCACAATTAGGCAAGGATTATAACAGCTCTGTGGTTTCTTTATTAAAGAAATGATCCGGACATGTTGAGCCTGAGTGGTTGTTTCCACTCAGCTGACACCAACCAGTAAGAAGGCGAAGACGACATTGAAGAAGAGGTTTTAATGTGTACATCTTCTATTTCCCCCCTTCTTGTTATTATGGCAGCGTACAGGGTTGGCAGTTTGAATTCCCACCACGGCTGCATCATTTCAGTGTAAAATGACACGCTTAATGTACAGAAGTGCACAGACCTTTGAGAATCACACTAAGAAAGTATCTTCGATGCAGATTTCGGAATCTACAAAAAGGGATTGTGCAAAATAATCAGAACATTCCTTTTTCTTTAGAGAAATCAGAGTTTTCACACTGAAACCCATGTTATTTATAAATTCTAAATTAGCAAACAAATAACTTATTTAAATGGATATTTATAGCATTGTGCAATAAATACATGAAACTTGCAAAGCTTTACACTTCAGAATCTATCCTGAGAACTCCATAAACACCCAAACTTTCTCAACAATGTTACTGCTTTACAAAGAGGATATTTAGCACAGAGCTGGTGGAATAAATGGGGTTACACTATAATATGTTGCCGTTATTTAGGCCCCTTCCTGTGTTTCTAACATGCACAGCAGCAAAAGCAAGCTGATAACGGGACAGTTCATGTTTGCAGGCAGAAGCAGAATGAACAAGGCTTTAAGATTAAAATAAAAAAATAAAAACAGGCAAACTATAGGTCAGGTCTGTTCAAGGAGAACTCACAGAACCAAAAATAAAATTGAAACAGAAACATGAGCTGAATGCCCCACAGAGACCAAATAAAGTTCAATCATGTCCAAAAACTGAAACTGGTCGGAAACTCTTTGGATTATTCCGCTGCTGGTGAGCATAAAATGATTGTGTGTCCAAAAAAAAAAAAGGCTTTATGAAAACCATAAAAGAGAGAGAGAGAGAAGCTCACAGGTTGTGTAGTCTGTGGTCAGTTTCAGTTCTGCCAAAAAAAACATCAGCGGTGCAACACTAAAAACAGAAACAAATGTCCCTCCACTTGTATTTGACTCTAGGTTCCTTTGGCGGTCCACATAAAGTTGGCAGTGTTTCGCTCCGACTTCACAACAACGAGAATACACACACATGGTTTTGGTCCCCAATTGCTAAGGTGTCCCCGAATGACGGTGTGTAAACTGGTTCAAGTCCCCAAAATTAAACATAAACAAACACACATGTTTTGGTGCCCAATTTCCAAGATGTCCCCAAATGACAGTGTGTAAACTGCTTCAAGTCCCCAAATTTAACATAAACAAACACACATACAGTGACATGCAGAAGTTTGAAACGTTCTAGTCAGACACAGCTGATGATGACTATATGGCATTATTACTATCCATCCATTCATTATCTTTACCTGCTTTATCCTTTTCGGGTCACAGTGCAAGAGGCAAGGTCACCCTTTACAGGTTGCAAGTCCATCACAGGGACGCATATAGAGACAAACGAGACAAGCAACCATTCACTCTCTCACACCTAGAGACAATTTAGATTTACCAATCAGCCTAACATGCATTCTTTTGGTCTGTGGGAGGAAACCGGAGTACCCGGAGAAAACCCACACATGCACAGAGAGAAAATACAAACTCCACCCAGAAAGGCCTCCGGCTGGGATTTGAACCAGGGCGACCTGCTCGTTGAGAGGCAGCCCTACCAACTGCTTCACCATGCTGCTCTCACATTATTACTAGAAAACTCCAACAGGTTTGTTTTCTTCTAGCGGTTTATTCCTGCATTTTATATTTAAGTATCGCCCACCACAGAAGGTGAAAGAGTGATAATATTTTTAACTGTCTATATGGCTTTTTAAATAAAATATCCCATAAATCAGTGGATGGATTTTATTGATTATTTTGGAAAACAATCATTGGATGTGGATCTACAACTGATTACCTTTTGGAGGCAATTCAATTCAAGATGGCCACCACTGTCAACTGACCTTAGGAAACACAAAAATGGCTAAAAGTCAATAAGTTTTTACAAAAAGTCGGGCTAAAACTTGGTGTGGCAGTAGCTGAGAGTGGTTCACAACATACACTCCAAGGGTTACACATTGTATATCTTTGCTTAAACTTTTGCATTATCTGTTGGCTTCAACCCTGTCTGTCTGTCAGCAAAATATCTCATTAACCACTGACCATATTTTAATGAGACTCACTGGACTTTCCTCTACTGATGAACTTTTATATTTACTCCAATTCAAGATGGCTGCTACAGCTCCTCAACCTTAACGATGCTAGAACTTAGTCAAAGTAGAGACAAGACTGGCACGTCATCTATGAGGTTTGACCCAAACGACCACAACTCCATCCCTTTTCATCACCAGATGCTTTTAGTTTAAAACTGGCATGGATGGCAGCGGGTGATATGCAGATTATGGTAAATGTTTGGAGAGTTAAGGTGTAAAATCTGCATCACATGCACATATTTATTCTAAATCTGATCTCATGTCTTTAAAGATGCTTAAACTTAAAGATAACTGATTTTATTTCATCTTACAACTACACAAAAATACAAGTTTAGTATGTAGTTGTATAAAAAAGTCGATAGGAATGCTTCAACTTTAGGGTAATTTGTAATCTTTTCATATCCATGTTCAAACATCTGCATGCCTGCGCCCATCCACTCGTGCTGCTGATGCAGGACATGATGCAGAACATGCACATAAACACATTTAGACGTACGGGTTTTAATAAATGCACTTCTGTGTCCGCGACTCTCTACAAATAGGAAGGTGCATAAATAAAACATTCCCACATCCAGTTTATGAAAAAGTCCATGCATTTCTGAAAACACAAAGGCTTTCTGGCCGTCTCCTCCTCTGTCTCGTCATTTTCTGAGCGTCTCTTTTCTCCTCCATGATTGGCTTCATCTCGTTTCCCTTCCCTCCAGCGGCGTTGTGATCTTTTCTTTGTCCCTCACAGATGGGTGCTATCCTGCGTATCAAACCTGTGGCTCTCTGATAGTCCGGCGCTGCACTTCCTGCTGCTCCCCTGATTGGGCACCAAGGAGAGGGGGTCTGGTCTGATCAGGTACCTGCAGGTTGGGCACAGACAGGGGGCAACAGTTGGGATTGTGTTATAATTGTTGTTTTCACGCTGTGTTCATTTTAGCACTATGGTTTTCATATTGCCGCTCACTCACACAACATCGTGCAGCTCCAGCCGGGTGTCTGGAGAAGGGTTGATGAGGATGTATGACAGTCTGTTGCCTTGGTCTGTCATCCCATCTGACACAGGAAGGAGAGAGGTTAGAGAGGCAGGAAATAAAAAAAGGCTCAGGATACAGAACAGACTGAGCTGCATCCGCTCAAACGACAGAAAGATTAATTTAGATACAACCGCAAACCTGAAAAGTGAAGAAATTGTGTAAACCGTAAAAACAGCTACAAAATACAATGACTGACAAATAAAAACAATAAAGATTTTATTCTCAGTGGATCATACTAAACATTTCAAATGTGTAAATTAACTAATCGTACAATTTTAAGGAAAAATAGGGTAATTTGGAACAGTGTCATGTTCCGCCTGGACAGCAAACCCTGTTCTTTTAACATCTAAGAACTGAGGAGACCAGCTGCTGAAGGTTTTAGAGAGAAATGTTGCCCCATTCTTACATACTCCGGTTTTCTCCCACAGACCAAAAACATGCATGTTAGGCTGATTGTAACTCTAAATGGTCCCTAGGTGTAAGTGAGAGAGTGAATGCAAAGAGAAAACCTTCACATCAACGTGAAGAAGACAAAGGAGATGATCATGGACTTCAGAAGAAACAAACTCACCTACACCCCCCTGAACATAAGAGGATCTGCAGTGGAAGTGGTCTCCAGCTACAATTGGGTGTGCACCTGAATGACAACCTCAGCTGGAGCAACAACACCACCAGCCTGATCAAGAAAGCTCATCAGAGACTCTACTTCCTCAGGTGGCTGAGACAAGCTGGTTAGAGATTCATGAGTCTAACAACCTCAGGGTAGAAGCTGTTCCTCAGTCTAGTGGTTCTGCACTTAATGCTCCTCAACCTCCTTCCTGAAGGGAGCGGGGCAAAAAGTGTGTGTGCTGGGTGAGTGGGGTCCTTCATGATGCAGGTGGCCCTCTTCCTGCATCTAGAGGTGTAGATGTCTGTGATGGTGGGGAGGCTGACTCCAACAGTCTTCTGTGCAACCTACACCACTCTCTGCAGAGTTTTTCTTTCTGCAGCTGTGCAGCCTCCATGCCACACGTTGATGCTGGAGCACAGGATGCTCTCCAGTGCACACCTGTAGAAGGAGGTGAGGACTGAGCTTCCCTGACCAGGATAATCACTGAAAAATCACATCATGTTGCTGCTGATCTGTTTCATGTTGCTGTGTTCATGCGTGCTCATCTGCTCACACAGACTCATGCTCGTGCTGCTGTTCAACATAATGCTTTTATGCTATTAGTGCTTAGTGTATTATTTAGCTGATGTTTTTCTTAGTTCATATCTTAGATCTTATTATTGTTTTTTCTTTTACATTTTATTTTTGGATGTAACTGGGACCCTGAGTACATAATCTTGTTCCACCACATGAACCACATGAGATGCAAATGACAAATAAATCTCTCTGACTCTGAATGGCTGTTTGTCTCAATGTGGCCCTTGATGAACTTGTGACCAGTCCAGGGTGTCCCCCGCCTCTCGCACAGTGACTGCTGGACATGGGCACCAGTGACCCCCCCCCCCACCTCCCCGCAACCCAAAAAAGAAGAAGCGGGTAAAAGATAATGGATGGATGATGGATGACTGAAAACTCACTGAATCCAGTTGGAGACAGGCCCAAATGCTTCATCCTCGTCCGCACAAGTGCATTCAGTTCTTGTCTTTCTGAGCGTCTGAACAGGTTCAGTCTCTGCTGGCTGATCCTCTCCGCGGCACTGCCCGGACCACCTTTGGCTGCATTCGACCCCCGACCCCCCTTCCTGCTCAGCCGCCGTGCCCATTGCATGCTCTTCCTCCGGAGCAGCGGATGGTCTGAGGAGTGGGAGGAGGTGGAGATGGGCTCAGAGCAGGTAGAGTTACGGTGGGCTCCTGTGCGGGACAGGAGGGGCTCTCTGGACTCCCTGGTGTCCTCGTAGTCCTCGACTGTAATGGAAACCTGGGACTGAGACATTTAGAAATACAAACTATTACTTTTTCATGTCCTTTTTTCAAATTACAAACATGATCCCACCCAGATGAAAATGCTTGAATCACCCTTTAGTGGTGCTGTTTTAGATCAGGAAAAATTATATATAGTTTCTTTAAAATTTTAATATAAGTGTCATTTTGGTACACATGTAGGTTATTTCTTTACAAAGATTAAAAATATATATATTCCTGTGACTATTATTATTATTTTTTACATATTTTGCATTTAATTGACTCCTCATCATTATCCTGAATTAATTTGTTAAAAATATAATTTTAATTATTACATTGCATTTGTGGTTAATCAGCCCAAATGAGTCATTTTATCAATGCTGATATTAGTTTTATAGATCATTTCTTATAATATCTGTAAGATTTACTTATTTTCATAACTTTTTATGTTTTCACACACAGAAGCTACTTGCCATGTCATTTTCGTTTTATGTTAACCAATGAATTTACATATGTTTCATTTAAAATTAAAAGTTTTAGTTGATATTTTTGCTCGTGTGACTGTGTAGAAATGTTAAATGAGGAGAAAAAATATATTAGAATAAAATGAAACACTCATATCTTAGAAAGGATTAGAAATGCAAAATAAAAAGATTAATAAAACATTATGATTTTGTGATTTAGATTACCGATGCACGAATTCACGCTCCAGAAGCAGAAATTTATTATACCACCACCCCTCCCACATGGCACTAAATGAGGCAACATCTGAGATTTGGATTAGTCTATTTCTAACTAATAGATAATGTTCAAACAGCCTCTGACCTCTGACACTGGAAGCTTGTGAGCTTCCGTACGGTAAACGCCGATAGGAATGTCTCCTGAGGAGGAGCATAGTTTCTGGTAGAGCCTGCCGTAGTTTCGGATCCACAGGTCGTCTTCTGTGATTTTCATCTGGAAATGAAACAAAACTGGAAATGCTTGCAATTTGTAATTTTCAGCTAAAATACAGTTTGAATCCTGAGCATTAACTAACTGCTGAAATATGTTGAGGTGAAAACGAAAACAAGCAGAACAGAAGTTTAAATGAGCTGAATGAAAGCTCAGAACAGTGCTAAACAGTAGCTAAAAGCTAAAACCAGTAGAATATTAGCTGAAGATAAAACCAGTTAAAGAGTAGTTAAAACCAATAAAATAGAATCCAAAACGTACAAACAGTAATAAACTATAGTTAAAAGTTAGAATTAGCAAAATAGTAGCTAAAAGCTAAAATGAGCAAAACTGTAGCCAAAATGACCAAAACAGTACATCAAAGCATCAGCTAAAAGCTTAAAAGGGCAGAGCAGGTGCTAAAAGCTAAAATTAGCAAAATACAACGCGTTGTCACTCTTTTAATGTTGGAATGACATTTGTATGGAGGTTTGCTGAAGTCGTTCACTTCCAGGGAGCAAAAATATTGAAAATTTAAATGATCTCCTTGTGGGGTTTCTCTGTTTTCTGTTCTCCTGCACGACCCTGTGTTTCTCTTCCTTGTGTTCAGCTTCTGTCATACCTGTCTTCACTTCTAATCACCCCAGGTGTTGTTATCATGTCTCGTCAGTGTCTGTATAAAGTCAGTGTCTTTCCATTCCTCCTGCATTACCCTTCCAAAGCTTCATGTTCTGGGTCTGCGCCGCTTGTCTTCTCCTCCCCTAACTTAAGTTTTTGCGGCCCCATCAGCACTTTGTTTTTGTTATTTGTAAAAATAAATTTATTATTTTTAGTCTTGAGTCTTCTTCTGCTACCTGTACGTGGGCTCAGCCAAACAACAGAATCATGTCCTCGCTTCAAAAAGAATAAAAGTTGCAAATAACAAAATCCATAGTGGTGATGTTTTAAATGAGCTGAATGTTTTGATAAGCGAGTGGCTATAATAATTGAAAGTATGCTGAAACAGTTACAGTACAAAATCGCTAAGAAATAGACTAGAAACAGTTAAAATAAATTGAGCCTCTATTACGCCTCACAGTCGATAAATTAAATTTTAGCAGCTTGGTGTGTGTGTTTGTATTTGTTACTTTAAGGCCCATTTTTCCAACTTATCCTACACTGTGAGGGCGAACTGCTCCTAATGGGGCCCAAAGCCCAGGCCCCATAAGAAGTGCCGTTGATGGGTTAGGGGTTAGGTTTAGGGTAAAGGTCAGGGTTAGGCCATAGAAATGAATGAAAAATGAATGGAAGTCAATGCAAAGTTCCTGTAAATATAGAAAGATGTGTGTGTGTGTGTATGTGTGTGTGTATACTTACAGCACAGAGGAAACCTGAGCCGGGCATGGAGTCCAAACCAAGCAACAGCCTGGTGATGGAGATCATGTAGTCCTTCACGAACGACTGGCAAAGGAAGGCATTGCAACAAACACACACAGATCATTAGTGAAATACTGGCAAACAAAAAGCAGAAGAGTGTTTGATATTCAGTAGGAGTGTGTGTTTGAGAAACCTGATAGAGTAGAGTGTCCAGCATGCTCACACTGAACACCTTCCCAGCAGCAAAAGGCAGGCGAAACATAAAGACCAGATTGGACCCCTTCTCTCGTTCTTTCTGCAGATCAAACACACACACAGCTGATTCCACAACCCACTGGCTTTCTGAGAGGATCAGAGGAGTCAGTCATTTATTTAAACTGTTTTTGTATCGAGCTCATCCCAGCCGAGGGCAACACAACACTCGAGCATCTACTACTGACGAGCTGATATTCAACCTCACAGCCAAATTAGTTTCAGCTTCACCTGCTTTGTATTCTGCATGGACGGAGAGGAAAAAACTGGAAGTCAATCTTTTTCTTTGCTCCTGTGAGACAGCACAGTTTTCACACCAGCCTGAAATTAGTTTAAAGAGGTGGCTAATTTATGCTTCGTTAATAATTGTCATTGATGCTCAGCGAAGAACTCATTAGCTGCAGGAGAAAACAAAAATAAACACTTACCAAGCAAGGGTTTCAATCGATTTTAATTGGCTACATTTTTAAAGAAAAGACTCATTATTGTTTTATCGCTGCATAAAAGTGTCAAATCCATGGAACGTTTTTAATAAACAGAATCTTTTATAATGCAGCACAGGTTTTTTTTTTCTTCCTTCCTGTTTTATTGACATGAAAAATGAGTCAACGTAGAGGAAATGAGAGGAGAAAAGATAGCAGACGTTCTGGAGTTGTGATGCCGTTACCTTTTCCAGTTTGGACAGAGCCAGGGAGTAGTGGTCCTTCACTTTGAACTGCATGAAACGCATGTTTGCAGGATGTGTGAGCTCCGTGATGATACTGAGAGCTGGGAACAGTCTGCAAGAAAGACACATGAAAAACAATAGTATAGATGGTATAAAAATATGAAGGCATGGCATTCTTTGAAAGAAATGCATATCGCCCGCTGCCTTCCATGCACAAACACAAATCCAACATCAAGACGGTGCGATTGCAGAACAATTTTTGGCGAAGCGGACCTGAATAAAGTCTGTACGTTGACAATAGTTTTTGCATCGGCCATGTAGTCCTCCTCTGCGATCATGGAGCTCTCCTTGTCAAACACCACCATGGTGTCGGCAAAAGTGATCCCACATCGCAGCAAACTGTCCAGACTGACAAGAGAAGACAAAGTATCCAGAAAGCAAATCAAGACGAATACTAAATCAATTAAATAGCAGACAAAGTTAAACATGACTTTGGAGATTTTATTACTTCTCGATGGAGCCCACTGTGTAGAACACCATGGGGAACCAACAGATTGCTTCCAAAAAATCTGCTTCAGGTCTGAACAGAAGACAAGTAGAGTTTAGAGAAGAAGAGCTCGAGTTCCCACACTGACCGTCCAACCTGCTTCAATTGAAATACTGAAGAGGCAAAAAGGCCTTCTGAGAAAGCTGAAAATAGCACTGAGTGACTCAGCATTTTATTGCCTTTTTATTGGATTCCACTCTCATTTGGCTGACTGTGTTTGTGTTCCAGCTCTGTGGAGTGCGCTGCCCTGAAAGCATGCACCTTCTCACAAATCCTGTTTACAGGGACCTTAAATAGTTCCCAGTTTCTCTCTCCTCAGTTTGTTGTTTAGAGATGAATCAACCTGAATTTTGCTCCACCGCTGTCTCACAGCTACAGTCATACACCAGCAGGTGACCTATTTCAGTCTGATGCTGAACATTTTTTAATTTCAGAACAATACAACTGTGCTCACATGCTCTCCAGCAACAGCACGATGGGTTTGAGCTCCTTCCTCGTTCTGTAGTAAGCCCGAAGAGGCACAATGAAGTTGTACAAACTGTTTCCTGCAGCCTCCGCAGACACGATGATCAGTTTATTTTTGAAGCTGTAGGAGCGAGCGTCCTCAAAGGGGATGTGATGGCAAGCCTAGGAGAGAAGAAAAAAGTTGGCTTTGTATAACTGGGACAATGGGAGTGTGAAGAAAGCTAAAAACTAAAAGTGAACAATGATCAAAATGTAAATTTATCAAAGCACTGACTAAAAGTAGCACAGAGCTTGCTAAAATCTAAAAGTAGAAAAATGACAACTAAAAAGTAAAAGCAGCAAAATGTTAGCTAGAAGCTTAAAGTAGCATACATCTAAGGAGAAGCTCAAGCAAAACGCAAGATAAAAGTATATAAACACTAGCCAAAAGTGTCAAAACACTAGCTAAAAGCTAAACGTAGCAAAACATTAGTGAAAAGCTCAAATCAGCTAAAAGCCAGCTGAAATAGCACAAGAAGGCAAAAACAGAACACGCATCCTGAAGCAGATTAAAAAATACAATGTTTTAAGAAGAAAGTTAAGAAATTGTAATGATTTTTATGAAAGAATATTTGTAAAGCATGTTGAAAAATATGTTTTTTGAAACAAAGATGATAGCACCCTTCTCCTGAATGAACATTTTGATGTATTAATGACTTAAATAGCAAAAGGTATGCAAAAGTAGTTAGACTGTAAAAAAAAAAAAAAAACTGTTTGAAAAATAAAAACAGGAAGATGACGTGAACATTGAATCCCATTCAGGGTTTGTACCTTGTCCATGCGCAGGCAGCAGAAAGGCATCTTTTCTTGTAAAAGATGGCAAAGTGCTGGTGAGCTCCCGATGTACGGAGAGTTTGGGGGGTATCCCTTCACCCACCTGTGGGACAGTCCACATTTACCTGGGAACTTACTCAAACATCCCATCTACAGTCTCACCCGTACTCACTCGCAGTGTCGCCCCCACCAGTGGGCATTTTCGTCTTTGTCGCTGTCATCCTTGCCCTCTTCTCCTCCTTCGTCCTCCGACTGTTCCCCCAAAAGGTCAAAGGTGGGGTTGTTGACACCGTCCACCAGCTCCAGGACAGGTGCGATGCTGTGTCGTCTCTCGTCTGCTGAATCTCCCATGGTGGGCAGAGACAGGGTGTTGGCACCCCCTATTTCTGTCTTGGAGCTGCTCCTGCTACATCTCCCGCTGCCGAGCCCCGTGCTGCCTGGGTCTGGACCTTCAGGGCTGCTGTCACTGGAGTCCTGCAGGTCGATGGCCACGGTGCCTGCAACAAAACACCCAAATATAGAAACAGACGAGATTAAAACAATCTTCAGAAATATGAAAACACTTTCCTCACTGCTCAACTGTGAGAGGGATGGACTCATGTAGATTCATTGTTGTCCACTAGGGGGCAGGTTTGTGCAGTCACAGAATTTGACATTTGGCAACGATCAAGTGTAATTTAAAATCACTGTTCTGCAAAGCTATTAATGTTTTTTAATCTTCCAAACAGGATTCGGATGTAAAGTTCTGATAGCTCTCACTGGTGACCAGGTTTGTGTGAGTTGTGTAAACGTTCCACAATCTGACCCATGCTGGCGATGATACTGTGGACAGGCAGCCGAGTGAGTCCATGGTAGATACTTGGGTGCACTCCTCTTGAATCCCCCCCTGTGACCCCCCAGGATGGCTCCCTCTGTCCCCGCACAAAGGCCGAGTTCTCCTCTTTGGAGATGTTGATGTAGAAACATGTGTCAGAGGCCCCCATGATGTGACATGGGCCCGGGTTCAACAGGATGTTGGTGGTGTCCAGTCTGCGCACTCCGATCAAACACACTCCAAACCTGCAGGCGCACACACAAGTTCAGCTCTCAGCTGTGACGTCATATGAGTTTTTATCACCCGCTGTCAAAGGCAAGAGGCAATAATGGGTTTGTGGTCATTTGTCTTTACCATTAGCAAAATATCTCATAAACTATTAGATATATTTTAATGAAACTTTTATTAGGTAACTAGGGTATATTAGGTAATTATGGTACAATAACAAACATTGAGATAAAATTTGGTGTGGTAGTAACTGAAGCTCATCCTCAAGTGCTGAGTGTGATGAATATTATGTGATGTCATTTTCAAGGTTTGACCAAAACAGCTTTTTTCATTTACCCTTTATTTATCCAGGTAGTCTCATTGAGCCACGAGAACTCATTTTCAAGAGAGACCTGTTTAGGGAGCAGATGGTGGGTTAAGGGCCTTGCTCATGGACCCAGAGTGGGGCGAATGAGGGTGGGGGCAGGTGTGGGTGCTTCACCTACCCCACCCACATTTTTGATGTTGTCTGTACCGGGGCTTGAGCCGGCGATCTTCCGATCACAGGCCCACCTTCTCTAACCTCTGCACCACCACTCCTCCTTTAATTTCTCAACATGATATGATGTTAGTTTAAAAGTCAGGCCTGAAAGGCAGCAGGGAATATGTATTCCTTTAAGGAAAGCTGGGCCGACTTTAAAAAAAGACTCACTTTTTGTGTGCATGAAAGGAGGCAAAGGTAAAGCTCTTGCCCTGGTATTCCCCAAAGAATTTGCTCTCCTCCAGACGAATGTGATGCACCTCGTTGGCTGAGCAGCGCCGGTAGGTCCGGTGCCACTGGTCTGCTGAACCTGCACCACCTTCCCTGAGACAGCAACAACAAAAAAAGACAGATGTGGAAAATTGTAACCTTTAAAATATGTTATATGAAGCACTCAGCTCAGCACCAGGGTCACACTAGAAGACTTTCTATTAAGTAGGAACATCCTTCGTCTCTGTCAGGGCTACAGATCGATACAACTATTAGGGGCTCACATGGAGACAGAAACTGAATGAAAGATTTACTCCTTCGCTCAGATGCGAGGACAGCAGCCTTCTCAGGGGGATATGGCTTTAGACGCGGGGGCTAAAGAGGTGATAGCAGGAAGCAACGGTGAGGGGGTAGTGTGACCGTGGGTGGCCTGCAACAAGAACTGCATTATATAAACAAGTGTTAGTAAATTCTCAGCTAGGTGTAAGGCAGGGAAGAAGTTTTATTGTCACAGCCAACGAAACAAATGGCATCAAGTCCAAATATAGGAGGATTCCTATATGAAATCTGTCTCTTTCCACATATAAAACAAAAGTTTTACTTTTCATACTTCATATACAGCAAAATGTTTATTTATTTACTTTCTTTTTGCCTGTTGAATTATCAAAATATCTCAAGAACCAAGAATATATATATATATATATATATATATATATATATATGTATGTATATATGTGTGTGTGTGTGTGTGTATATATCAAAAATAAAATAAATTGTTTACCTGTTAAGTGCCTGAAATGCTCCTGCTCGTTGTTTGAAAGCCTCTTGGTGTGCCATTCTAGGAAACAAACAATATAAATGCCAGTAAGGAGACAGAGGCAGCTGTATTTTGTTGGTTATTTCTCCCTAGTGTATAGTTTATTTGATTGTAAAATGTAATACAGACAGTTAAAAAAAAAGGGAAGAAATAAAATGATTGATGGGGAGAAAGCAAACTCACTGGCCTCTGGAGGAGTGGATCAATAAAGTGATAAGAGTTGAGGTGCCAGGGCACACACAGTTTAAAGCCAGCATGGCATACTTAAATTCCTCTTCACACACCACATGATCTGCAGGCAGAGAAGGACAGGGACAAAGCAGCTTTGGGGTTTATTGGCTTCAGCCTTGTTCTTTGGAAAAGATCTCACAGCAATAATCCATGCAATATAAAACATTCCAGACGGATTAATACAAGGTCACACAGAGAAAAATGATAGCTAAATAGAATATTATAATAAAAATCCAACATGGCAGCACCCAGAAAATCTGATATTTTGGCTTTAATTTCAAACCACCTTGTCCAACTTTATTACCAATGACGACTCACACATTTTTTTTTTTTTTTTTTTTACAGAACATTAGTTCAATGACAATGACAAACCGGGACAAAATTGAACGCCCAGATTTGGAGCTGCCAACTAAATCAAACGAACATCTCTGTCGTAAATCTTCCGATGTCTTGGATCGTCCACACCTTTCGTGTCACAGCTCAGATTTTCTGAGGAGGAAGCAGCCAGTGAGGTGAGTCAGCATATGGAGCCTCTTTGCACACACACCATCGAACCCCTAATATGTCCACGCCTGTGGGCCAACCAAACAACCTGAGCAAACACAGACGACACTTTTCGTTCACCTGTTGCCTCTGAGCCTCCTCTTTGAAAGGAAAATCCAATAGACCGATTAATGTTTGTTGTAAGCCAATCAGTGAAACGGGCCGAGGGAGAATCCATTTCCTGTGCTGTGTAATTTTTGATTGCATTGTCTTCAGCTCAGCGCACAGACCTATCAAGCCGCCTGTTAGGCAGAGACGCTGAGCTGAGCCCCTAAAAGCACAACGTCGTGCGTTGTCTATGAGGATATAATTGGTGACAAAACATCAGAGCCCGAGCAGAAGAATCACCCTCAATCAGCTGCTAGTTTGCGAAGCATTAGGCCGTATAAGATTTAAATGTAGCTCGCTCTGAATTAATGTGCGTGCCTGAGGGTGGGCCGGTGATAAACATGACAATTAAAACTGTGAACATACTGATTAAGTAGCAATGTTCTTTTGGCTCAGGGAGGCACGTCACAATGCTGCTCACATGCAAAACCACCGTAGTTTTCTCGCTGTTCAGACTGTCAGGTTATTTCAGAGTCAAAGCATGTGTAGAAATAAAGGCCTTGCATTCCATTAAGGAATGCCTATCGCCCACCGCCTTTCACGCTAGAGTTGTGAATTGAAACTATCTTGCACTGAAGAGAGACTTATAGCAGTTTGGGCCAAAGCTTAGAATGAAATTAAGCACATCATTACATTGTGAGGGCTCATGAGATGCAGTAGAGCTTAAAGAATATGTTTAAGATGACTCTCTGCTGCTGTCACACAAAAATTTAGCTCAATTTCTGTAAAACTGACTGCGTTATAGCCATTTTTGTGTTGTCTAATATGGATTAGCTGTAGTAGTCATCTTGATTTGAAGTGTCTCCAAAATGTTATCAGATGCACAGTACAGTAGATGAATATCCAATAAATGCATTTTGAGAATTTCATTAAAACCTAATCAGTGGTTCATGAGATATTTTGCTAACAGACAAACATGAGTGACAACAACAGCTAATGCTAAAGTTTTAAGAAAAATATTGCAAAGTTTAGCGCTCAAAGTTTGTGTTGAGGATAATGCTAAGCCACTCCAAGCTTTTACGGGATGTCTGTACAATGGGATGTATTTAGCCGTTCTGTAATTTTATATTCAGTTGGCTGTATCGGCCATCTTGAATTGGGTTGAGTCCAAAAATAAGTGAGTTGTGCATGCGGACTCAGTGAGTAATTTCAGTGAATTTCATTAAAATGTGTTCAATGGTTTGACAAGATTTTTGCAAACAGACACAAAAAATTGATTCTAAAAGTTAATGGTAAAGTTTTTAAAACAAATCTAACACAGTCGGTGTGCACTTATAAAATATGTGTTGGTAATCATTCTCAGCTACGATCACACCATATTTTAGCTGGATATCTTAAGCATTATTTAGGTTAAATCAATTTTTGATTTTGCTAAATCACTTAGCCGTGGTGGCCATCTTGAATGTGCTGTCTCCAAATGTTAATCAGTTGTAGGTGCACAACCAGGGAGTTTCAACAAAATCAGTCCAGAGGCTAATGAAACATTTTTTACAAAACTCTTACTCTAGCACATAAAAAAACTGTATACACTTTTGTTTTTGGTGGTGAGTCCTAAAAATAGACTTTTGGTGTCTTAAAGTAGATTTTTTTCTTTTTAAATAAAACCAATGTTGCTACTATGATGGTGACATTTTAGCAATACAGACATCAAAACCAATTGTACTAAATTCTTAAAAGCACAGACTTGCCCATGTTTTGGTCATTCTTGCTTCATCTCATTTCTTTCTTTTCTTTTCCTACAAGCGAGGTTCAAAGGTGTAACCCCGAGTGCGCCTGTGCTCATGTAAATGTAGTTACATACAAGGCTTGCAAGAGAGCAATTAGGACCTGACCACGGGTCCTCCAGCAGAGCTAATTAAATCAGTAAGCTGCTGCTGCATGTATAAGTGAGCCTCTACAATAAGCTCAGCTCAAGAGGGCAACAGGATTTTTTTTATTTAAAACATAAATCAGATAAATAATCAATAGACTCTCAGCATGGAAACTGAAACACCTCAAGGTTTTCTATTCTGCTGCAGCATCACACCAGCAGATCTTTTCTAATGAATGCTCAGCTCTTATTAAGCTGAGTTTGCGGATTGAATAAAACCTTGTGCCTCTTGCTCATTAATGCCTCCCAGGCCATCGCTTGATGAATGTTTCCAAGTGGTGTCAAAATTTGGCATCTGTACCGCCCACGTGACTGCGCTCCGAGTGGCTCTGTGAGGCTGCCTATTGTGACTTCAGGAGTATGGGTAAGTTAAACTCGGTTCATTGTGAAATTTGCTCGGTTAAGAAATCTAGAATAGAAAAAAACACCAATTATCTGTTCCATCAAAACAGGAGCAGCAATTAGCTATGAGGCAGAATGCAATACCCACATCATTCTGTGCTAAATAAAATGTCTAAAATAAACATGAAGGTCTTTTCAGCAGTCAAACAGGGTGTTCGTGTGAGACAAAACATCAAAGCTGTCAGAACCTCGGCAGAAAAGCAGAAGATTCGTGCTGCAGAGCTCACTGTTAATCATGCACTGTAGAACAGGGGGGTGATAATGGATGAACATGAAATTCTCCTTTTGCCGAGCAATTCCGAGCAATTCCTGCCTTGCTCATAAAAAAACCCTGAGTCTGACTGTGAAGTGTTTTACCAGCACTGCAGGGGGATTACCCAGTGGGGAGAGCTCGTCTGTCAGGTTAGCACCGCTCCAGAACTCATCAAAAGAAGGGATTTTCTTTTTCTGAGGTAGCAAAGTAAAACGCTAATCATCGATACAGGCAGCTGGGATAAAGGTGACAACCTGGAATTGGGTCTATCAGGTCTGCAGGCAGGAAGATGTGCGAGAGAAAGATAGGGTGTTAGAAAGTTTGTGTTTTTAGATAGCTCACTGGCATCTTCTGCTGGGAAGTAGAATGGAGACTCTCCAAAAAAGCAATGCTGGAAACTGACAAAAAACTCCTGAAAGGCTTATAGGCAAGCTGTGCCAATCTGTCCCACTCTTCTTTAGAGCTGAGAAGATGGAGAGCTGTGCTACTGCTGAACAAAGCCTCTGATTCAACATGTTTAAGGCTCAAACTATCAATTCAGTTCAGTTGTCTCAGGGCACTGTACGTTATAAAAAAACAATTAGTAAAAAGTTATCTATCTAAGGAAACCAGCAGATTGCAATGAATCTTCGCTTCAGTCCAGTCTCCCATCCTGAGCAAGCACAATGACAACAGTGGAAAGGAAAAACTCCCTTTTAAGAGGAAGAAACCTCCAGCAGAGCTAGGCTTTTGAGGGTATATTAATACGTATTTAATCTCTATGCCATACATCAGAACCAGATCAAGAGTGTGATGATGAGAATGAGTAGATGTGTGGACATATTGGGTAAAACCCATTGACTCTATTAAAATATTTAAGGCTACGCTATGACTTTCAACATCAACATGAATTTTGAAATCCTCCATTATTATGGATTTATCAGTATTCAATAATAAGTCAGCTAAAACATCTGAGAATTCAGACAAAAACTGAGAACAAAAAGGC